GTGAGGAACGTTGGTTTCCTCCGTCACTGAAGCAAGCAAGCCTCATGTTCAGTTTAAGCTGCCTGGCTACCAGCCACCATCTTGGCTGGCAGTTAATTTGCATATCACCCTGATTAGCCAATGGGAAGGGTAGCGTCGTACGCCAATTTCCGTGTTTCTCTTTTATTAGATAGGATTATTATTGATTTGAGAAGGGGGGGGGGAGATATCCATTTTAGAGAGAAACATGGGTTGGTTGCCTCCCTTAGGCTACCTCACTGGGAGTGAACCCACAACCTAGGTATGTGCCCTGACCGGGAGTTGAACCTGCAACACTTTCGATGTGTGGAAGACGCTCCAACCAACTGGGCCACCAGGCAGACCATTACTTTTTGATGAACTGCAAAGCTGACTTTACGCTAAACCAGTAGTTTTCCAACTTTGGCGTATATTAGACTTGCCAGAAGAGCTTGTTCAAACAGGTTGTTGGGATCCACCTCCTGAGTTTTTGATTCAGTAGGTCTGAGGTGTGGTCTGAAAATGTGGTACTTCTAGCAAGTTTCCAGGTGTGGACGCAGGAAAATACAATTTCCTTCTACCTCTCTAAGTTCTTCTGGACTTATGATTAGATTAATATGAGACAGGTTATCAGGAGAAAAATGTCACAAGTTTATTTCAGATGCACATGCAGGGGTGCCATAGAACAGCAGACCCAGAGGCTTGGGGCAGTTGAGGTTTATGTGCCATTCTGGAGCTAAGGGGGTTGTGGTTTGCCACTTCTAAGGCAGGAAGGCAATTCACGTGGAGATAGAAAAGCAGATGTTCTGTAAGTAAATGTTTGCTGAGCTTGTTTAACAATGGGACACAGAGAGGACTCTGGTCAATTAAGCCTTTCCAGGGTCCCCCTGATATCACACCTGGTTCCTATTGAATTGTAGTTATCTCGGACGATAGCTCCGTCAGGAGCAGGTCCTCTATTTCTTGTTAAAAATAATCAGCTTGAAATAATCAGCATCTCCAAGGGCATATTTTCAGGTGATAAACTTTGGCGCCCCCCCTCCCAGGTGACGCTGATACTGACGGTTTGGGCCCACACACCTTGGGAACCGGTGCTCTAAAACCTTCCATGACTCCCTGGAACTTCGGGGAAACCTCCAAAGTTGGTTTCCAGAACCCTGCCTGTTGGCCTTCCTATCCAGCTCTTCTCTTTTCTCCCTATAGGTGTAAGTAGCCCACAGCCTAGTTACACAGAGCAACTTGAATTCCTGGGTGAGGCGTGTTCTCTCTCCAGACTGCACATGCTGTAGCACCTTCTGTCGGTGGCTGAACAGTTTCCTTCCCTGGGGTCTTGTGACACATGGCCAGTCCCTATCCCTCCCCTGACCACACCAGAACATGACCATCTGGGAACCAGCCTTTGTTTCCCACAAAATCACAGACTTTAGGATGACAGGGCCTAGGGCTTTCTGTCACTGTTGTTCCCAACTCTGTCCAACACAGAATAGGTAGGTGTTCTAGGTAAATGAACAGTTGATAGATGTGTAGGCTCCCGCCCCTAGCCCACCCACAGGCCAGGGAAGAATGACTTCATCTGAGAGAGAAAACTCAGCAGCTGTGTACCTGAGCCCTTCTAGATTCCTGAGCAGAATCGGAGAGACTGGTGTCTTTTCATGGTACCCCAGCTCAGAAATACAGCCCCATGGGGGGTGCCTCTGTTAAACCTTGATACAAAGGTACATCCTGCAACATCCTTTATGCCAGAAACTGCCAACCACCCACATGTCCATTAAAGAGATGTTGGAATAATTTATGGGATGTGTGTCCTAGAGGAGGCACTGCAGAAATTAGAAAGGATTTAAGACCTACTTGTGTGTCTCTGGGATGACCTATGAATTACACTGGGTTGGTGAAAAAAAAATCAAGGTGCAGAAATGAGAATATTAGAAAAAGTATATAAAATTATACATAACATATAAAAAACAAAGTGAAGAAATGATAATAATGATTAGCTGACATTTTAATAAATACCAGACACTGTTCTAAGAGCTTTACAGATATTAAATTGCTTAATTCTCTAACAAGCCCATGAGGTAGATGCCATTATCCTCCCATTTCACAGATTGGCAAACTCAGGCACAGGGAGGCAAAATCACTGCCCTGATTGGGAGTGGTAGAGTTCTGATTTCTAGCCAGGGACTCTGCCTCCAGAATCTGTAATGGTAACCTCCTCGTCACACCAGGTACCATTTGTGTAGAGTGAAAGACACTGACACACATGTATATTGCTCATATTTGTCTGAGAAATCAGTCAACATAGCCTGAGTGCTGGAGAAAGATTGACTTTCCACTGTATACTCTTTTGTGCCTTTTGAATTTTTAGCATGCACCTTCTTTAAAAATATTTTTTTGTTGATTTCAGAGAGGAAGAGAGAGGGGGAAGAGGGATAGAAATATCAATGATGAGAAAGAATCATTGATCGGCTGCCTCCTGCACAACCCCTACTGCAGCGATTCTCAACCTGCGGGTCGTGACCCTTTGGGGGTAGAATGACCCTTTCACAGGGATCGCCTAAGACCATCGGAAAACACATATATAATTACATATTGTTTTTGTGATTAATTACTATGCTTTAATTATGTTCAGTTTTAACAATGAAAATACATCCTGCATATCAGATATTTACGTTACAATTCATAACAGTAGCAAAATTACAGTTATGAAGTAACAACGAAAATAATTTTATGTTGGGGGGTCACCACAACATGAGGAACTGTATTAAAGGGTCGCGGCATTAGGAAGGTTGAGAACCATTGCCTACTGGGAGTCGAGCCTACAACCCGGGCTTGTGCCCTTGATTAGAATTGAACCCAGGACCCTTCAGTCCTCAGGTTGAAGCTCTATCCACTGAGGCAAACCAGGTAGGGCGGCATGCACCTTTTTAAAAATGTCTTCAACTGAACAAGGTCTGGTTTCTTTTTCAAGAAGGGGAGAAACAACCGCCTCCCCCCCAGCTGCTGACTTTAGCATGGTGAGGAGACAGAAGACTGCGAGGCTGAGAAAGAGCTCGACAGTAGGTGTTTCTGAACTCCCATGGGACAAGGTGACCAATCAAAACCTTGCTCAAATCCATTTTGCACTTCCTGTGTGACCTTGGACAAATTATTTGATCTCTCTGGGCCTCCTTTCCTCAACTATAAAATGTGGTGAGAATGTACCTAACAGTTGATAAGAGGGGTAAATAAATTATGTATCAAGGGCTTGGAGCAGTGCCTAGCTCATAGTAAATCCTATATGTGTTTTCTATTACTATTATTAAAACAATCTTGTGTGCCTTTTTAGCATGATTTGGCAATGTTGACTTCTTCCTTCCTAAAATACTCTCATTCTCTTACCAATACTCCCCACCCTCCTGGTTTTCCTCCTCCTCTCTGGAACTCCTTTTCTGTCTTCTTTGTAAGCTCTTCTCTCTAGTATGAGGACATTGGTTGAAGGGACACTGCTCACCATATGGGGCCTTTACTTAGAAAAAGAAGCCTCCTTTTGGCATATTTAGCCTTGAACTTCAGACCCTATTTGTGTCCACCCTGCTAGTCAGGCAGGCATCCCTTATGTAGGTCCCAACCTGCATAATTATACATGATGGCCTTGGCTGATGTGTTAATCAATATCCACCCATCATCCCACTCTCCGGCCTTTCTAATAGAAGCCCAATTTCATTCAAGTATTCACCAGCCTCCAAGCTGAAACCTTACCCCCAGCCTCAGTTCTGGGGAACGGGGGGAATCCTGAAGAATCTAAGCTAATCCTGAATTCCTCAAGCCAATGATTGGCTCAAGATGGGCATGTGAGGCAATTTTGGCCAGTGAGATGGAAGAGGTAGTCTGCTGGGAGGCTTCAGGAAAGGATTTTCTTGATTCCAGAGACAGCATGGAAAAAGATGCCACTCTCTTCTTGTACTAAAAATTACCACATCTCCTTGTGATGCCTGGGCCTGCAGCAGCCACTTTGGGGCCATAAAGGGAGTCCATGTGGAAGCCAAACATTCAGCTGAGGGTGGAAGAGCAGAGAGGGAACCTGGGGCCAAAGACCCTCCTGGAGCTGTCACTGTATCATGCCTAGAGCTCTCCCCAACTCTGGTGATGTGCAGTATACACTCATCTCATTGTTTCACCTCGTGCCATTCTGGATTGTGTTACCCGCTGCCCAAATCTTTCCTTACTGATAAAATATTAATATCCTTAGGCTGATTTCTCAAGGCTGGTCTTCTCTTCACTCCTACCTCATGGCCTTGGTTCCTGCATCTGTCTCCAGCCTCAACTACTCTGAGCCTCAGCCCTGAGGGTTCTGTGGCCTCCTGATATCTTCCTCTGGGTGTCTTTAGCCCCTCACACTCACCATGTTCCAAACTAGTCTCAGCATCTTCCCTCAAACCTGTTCTTTCTTCAAGGCTCCCATCTTGATTGCAGTTGACCATCCCTTGCACCTTTCCATGGCCTTGTTCCCTACCCCAAATCTATAAGGCCTATGGCCTGTCCACTTGGTCTTCTGAGCATCCTTCCACCTGTACCCGCTCCTGTGGGCTCTGTCCAGCACCATGATTTTCTGCTTTGTTCCTGCCATAGCCTTCCCTGGACACCCAGCCTTTGTCTCCCCGTCTCATCTACAGCCACAGAAAAGCTGGGGGATTTTCTAAGGCAAAACCCAACCATGACCCTGTTCTGGTAGAAACCCTGCCGTGATTCTCTAGTGTCCTCAAGAAAAAAGCTGTTTCCCAAGCTGATCATTTAAAGACACTTAAGAGGGGCCCATGTCAACTACACCACTATCCTTCCCCCATTCACTCCACACTAGTCACAGAAGCTGATGGCTAACATGCTTTCCTACCTCCAGGCCTTTGTATACATGGTTTGTTCTGTCTGGAATGCCCTTCCCATTTGTCTATCAAGGCCTGGCTCAGATGTGCATCCCTTGTCACCTTCATAGGGTTTGGGAGAGGTAACAGCTCAGTAGATGGGCCTTTGGTGTAAGTGCTATTGCTGATGTATCACTGGGCGGGGGGCGGGGACAGACAGGAAATCTATTGCTTCCTAGTTCTGTGTCTAAAACAAGGAACGTCCCTCCTATGCCTCAGTTTCCTCAACTGTGGAGAGAGGATAATATTATATTTTCTCATGCAAATTACCCAAACAGGGCCTGGTCAAAGCATCACAGAATAACATGGAAGGTTCTGTGAAGTCATCTTGTGAAGTACTATTATTATTATTATTATTGCCATTTTACAGATGAGAGACCTGAGAATCACAGGGGAAGTGGCTGCCTGAGGAGATGGGCAGTATGAACTGAGTTGGGATTTGAGCCCAAGCAGGCTGGCTCCAAAGCTCACAGAATATGCACTTAGTGCTCCACAAATGGGAACAGTGATTACGGTAGTGCTGTGGCTAAGAACAGTGCCTTCTGTGCCATTCGGATCCAGACTGGGATCCTGTTTCCTGATGAGGAAGACGCTAGGACCCAGGTCTACTCCAGGGCTCTCTGCATGGGTCTTGCTCCCTGGAGACACCTGAGGAAAATCAGTTACACCTTCTTCCCTTGACTACTACTCATATTTCAGGAGTGAATTCAGTTGTCCCTTCCTCCAGGAAGTCCTCCCTGACCTTCCAAGTTATATTGGGTGCATTCCACGTTTTCTCCATCACACCGCTGACCACTCTGCATCTGCTATTAAAGTCCTGCCAGTTCTGGGCTCACTGTGTGGGGACGTCTAAGTTACTAGACTATGAGCCCCAGGAGAACAGGGCCCAGCTACATCACTAACAATGCCCAACATAGAAGAGTTTGGGATGTATTAATGTACAGGTGGGGCAAAAGTAAGTTTACAGTTGTGAGTACATGAAACAGTTTATTCTAGTATTATTTATTAATCATTGTATTATTTTCCATATGAACAACTGTAAACCTACTTTTGCCCCATCCTGTGTTCTTTCCAATGGACAGATAAGAAAATGAAGGCTCAGAACGGACTGTCACTTGCCCAAGGTGTAGTGACTGATCTAGTGCCTGAAATGATACCTGAGCCCAGAGCCTGGTAGAACTGTAGATGGTGAGTTGCTGAGAGAAGCAGATGGAATAAAAGAGTAAGAAAAAAAGAGACATTGAGAGGGAAAGACAGAGACGGTGAGAAAGCCAAAGAAGCACTGAATGAGGGGGAGATGAGAGAAGGAGCCAGAACAAAGCAATGCAGGTGCTTGGGGAGCCCAGGACAGGTACGACAAAGGATGGACAGCTGGTGGCAGTGCTCTCATGAGCACTGGCATGTGCCCATGAGGGTCTAGTATGTCAGTTCCAGTCACATGGTCCCTCAGCCGCAGGCTAGGTCCATCCAGTCTCAAGGTGCCTGCCCCAGTTACCTGGGGATGGAGGCATAGTTGGTGTGGGAGCTGGTGGTGAGTTGCTGGTGTGGTTCTGACTGGGGACTCAGAATGTCCACCCGATCATCCTCATCCTCATGGAAGCCGGCAGGGCGTGGACTGGGCAGCAGGATGAGCTCTGTGAGGCCATGAAGGTCAGACACATGCCGGACAGTCTGCAGCACCAAAACCATGGCGATCAGACCCAGGAAAAGGTAGGCTGCAAAGAGGGCAGAGGGGCCATGGTGAACTCAGAACCTCGGCAGGCCCAGGGTGGGGCTGTGACCCTCAACTTCCCCCTTGGACCCTCCACGACAAGGCTGTGCCCTGGGTCCTAAGCTAGCCACCCTACTCACCTGTGACCAGCACCTTGTAGAGGGCCCGGTAGGGCTGGCCGGGGGCTTCACCGGGCACATAGTCACCCAGGCCAATGGTGGACAAAGAGATGAAGCAGAAGTAGAAGGCATCCAAGAAGCTCCAGGCCTCCTCAAGGTGGGCAAAGATTGCGGCGGGCACCAGGAAGAAGGTGGTCACCATGATCCCCAGCAGAACCACCAGGTGCCAGCGGGCCAACCGCTGGGAGTCCCAGCCCCAGCGCATGCTCAGCCAGGACAAGGGTGCATGGGTCAGCAGCAGTGACAGGCGCTGGGCTGAGGCAGTCAGCAGCAACATGGTGGCCGGCACGCCCAGGAGCGCAAAGACAATGGAAAAGGCCTTGCCTGCATCAGTCAGCGGTGTTGTGTACCCATAGCCTGTGGAAGTAACAGGGAAATCCTTCTGCCCACTTGGCACCTACTTGGGGTCTGTGGCCATCCTAAGCCAAGACCTAATGTTACCCTTGAACTTGCCCCCATTCTTTCATTTCTGGTCACCCTTGACTTCCTTATCACTCACAACCACTTTCTGTCAGTGAATCCCATTGTCTCAAATTTCAAGTAGATCCCAAGTCCATCCACTTCACACCACCCCACCTTCATGTCTACCCCGTAGTCTCCTCCCTGGCCTCCATTCTCCACCTCCACCCTTGCCTTCACAGTCTGTACCCCCCACGCAGCCCGAGGGGCAGTGTGAACACCAGTGTTAAGTCATGTCCCTCCCCTGCTCAGAGCCCCCTGGTGGCTCCATCCCACTCAGGAGGAAGGACAAAGTCCTCATCATGACCCTGAGGACCCACACAATGCAGCAGGGACATACACTCCCACCTCAGGGCCTTTGCACTATCTGTTCTTTCCCTGTGGAACACCTTCCTTCAGGTTTCCACAGGGCTCCCTCTTCTCCAGGTCTTTGTTCAAACATCACCTTCTCATGAGGCCTTCCCTGACTCCCTTTCTTTTGTTGTTGTAATCCTCACCTGAGCATATTTTTCCATTGATTTATTTAGAGAGAGTGGAAGGGAGAGGGGGAGATACAGAGAGAGAGCCATCTATGTGAAAGAGACACATCCATTGGTTGCCTCCTGAATGTGTGCCCCTGCTGGGGCTGGTGGAGCCGGCAACCTGCCCTTGATGGGAATGGAACCCTTCAATCTGTGGGCTCTATCCACTGAGTCAAACCGACTAGGTCTGACCACCTTATTTTAAATTTTTACAGCTTCTCACCCAACTTTTTTGGTTTGTTGTCATAGCACTTAACACTGTCTAACAAACTATATGATTTACTTATTTGGCTACTCTCTGTCTCCCCCATTCGGGCGCCATCTCAGGAGGGCAGGGGCTTCTGTTTGCTTTGTTCAATGCTATAGTCCTGGTATCAGGCACTGAGTGGGCACTCAGTCAATAGTCAAAATAATAAATGAAGGGTGCAGGCTCAAGTCTGGCCCCTCTACTCTAAAATGGGTGTGACAAGCCCCGGTGACCTCCTGGAGGGCCGTGAGAACACAGGACCACAGGACCATGGGTGTGAGTTCTGCAAACTGTAACATGATACAGGGGGATTCAGGTGTAAGTGAGACTGGCTCACTGTTTTAATGTATAATTTAAAATATCTTTATTTCCCAAATAAATCAACCCAAAAGGTCAGAGATGTGATGGGGGTGATAAGGGGCCTGGTTAATGTTGAGGTCAAATGTTTTTAGCCCAAAAGACTGCAGATCCAGCCCCCTGATCAAAAATAACATGTGGAATCATGCAGATGAACACATCTCCCATACAAAGGGATCTGATTTTTTATATACTCAAAAAAATTGAGAGTAAGGGCTGGAAGATATTCCTGTACACCCATGCTCATAGCAGCATTCTTCACAGCCAAGTGTCCATTGATGGATGAATGGGTAAACAAAATGTAAATATATACAAAGCAGTATTATTCAGCCTTATGAAGGAACATGCTACAACATGGATGAACCTTGAGGACATTATGCTAAATGAGAAAAACTAGTCGAAGAAAGACAAATACTGTATGATTCCACTTATATGAAGTATTTAGAGGAGTCAAAATCATAGAGACACAAGTAGAACGGTGGTTGCCAGGAGCTGGGGAGAGGGCACATGGGGAGTTGGTGTTTAAGGGTAGAGTTTCAGTTTTGCAAAATGAAAATTGTTCTAGAGATGAATGGTGGTAACGATTGCACAACAATGTAAATGTACCTAATATCCCTGAAGTGTACAATTAAAAATGGTAAATTTTATGTGTATTTTACCATAATAAAAAATTGGGGGGAAAAAAGGCTCTGGCTTTCGCTGTACACATGGCCACCTGGAATAAAGACATTCCCTCTTTAATGGGGTTTCTCCATTAAAACCTTTGTATTAATGAGGGTTGGAGCCATAACGAAAAAACCTCAAATAATAATTGCGCAAATAAGATGCAGCTAGGTGTAATTAGAATAATTTCTGACCAATGAAGCATACATGAAAGAAGCAAACAAGTTCCAATAAGTGTCCTTAAAGAGAGGGTGGTGCCACCCTAGCCGGTTGCTTAGTGGTTAGAGTGTCAGCTGTGGACTGAAGGGCTTCAGGCTTGATTCTGGCCAAGTGTGCATGTGCAGGAGGCAATCGGTCAATGTCTCTCTCTC